GGTGAGAAAGTGTGTGGGAGAAGAGTGTGTGTGTGTGTGTGGTGGGCAATGGGCAACAGGTAGGACGAAAGTTTATTGTGAGCTACAGGGAGCCCCCTACCGGCCTGGCAAAAAGGGGGGTCGATCCGTCGCAGTCCAGCGGTAGGCTCTAGGCCTGCTCCTTAGCTCGCCATCAATCCACGTTTGGTCTGGAGAACAGGACCATAGTTCCATAAATCACAGTATTCATACCAATCTAGTGCGCACATAATCCGACTAAAGCGCTAATAGCACTAGAGTAACTCTTTTCAAATATTCATGATTCTTTTCAAATATTCATGATTCAGAAATAGAAAAATAAACATCTATCAATCATAAACAACATTTACAATATCATTTATCCCAAATATCCTAATTCAAATTACTAATAGGAAAATACATCCATAACGTTACCAATGCCATGAATACATCCACAAAATACATCCACTTACATTGCAGCAAGGTGCTCTGCCCAACTTATTCATTGCAAGACCCGTTTCATTTTGGAGAACCCAGGCATGTTTTAATAACCAAACGCTAACCACCTTTATTAAAATGAATGCTGCGGCTAGGCAAATGCTAATGCTAGAGCTAAAAACAATTGGACTCACCAGTCTCTGCGCAAGTTACACGCTCACTCGCTGTCGGTTTCCGCACGGCAAGTTTGGCCCGGCAAGGAGCTCCTACAAGTCAACACATCGCTTAACACTTGGCCATTATAACAATGGAAAAGCAGCGGAAAGTTTATAGTTTACCCAACCTGTAGCTCGTCTTTCCTGCAGCTTCACCCCCTCTTACCGAGACTGAACAGCGCGGCTCTATACATAAACGCGGTTGGTCGTGCCATCCCACGTGACCCCGTGATGTCACTAACCAGCATCACTGTGATTGGCCCAAAGGGACCACGCGAGAACCGGAGCTAACTCCGCGAGATTTTGAGCGGAATGAAAAGAAAGGAGAAACCTGTCACCTGGGTTACACATCCATCATGTGCAATTTTAATTTCTGCTTCTTCTGCCTAAAGTGCCCAAAGTTCAGTGTCTTCCTCATTGCCTGCCATTCTGTCTTCTTTTGTCTTTTTTTTTTTTTGCCAGGTTTGTTGTTGTTGGTGTTGTTGCTCTTCTGTTCTCTGTATGAGTGAAAAGCAAGTTGCTACTGAATGAGACTACTTGTGAAAACTAGTTACATCTGGGCCGATTAAGAATGTGGAATTGTTATGTTATCAGGTTTTTCCGTTTCAGATTGAAGTTAAAAATGTATTTAAAAAACACAGTTTCCTGTCTTTTCCCCCCATAAAGACACAAACTGCATATCCTATTATGGGTCGCAGAGCTCAAGAGAGTGTCAACTTTTTCCTCTAAATCGAGAATTAGAATGAAAAGCAAGCACTTTAATAATAATACTATATATATATAACATAAAATAATACTATATAAAAGTGAGCAAGTGAACTCTACTTTCTCAAAAGAAATTAAAAAAGGATGGATATTGATTGTAATAGTGGACAAAATTATTCCACCTCTTCACATCAGGGGGTGACAGAGACCAACATGCATTTAAGCAAATTTGGCAAACAGCTGATTACAACATCTTCAACATCAAGTCAAGTTTATTAACATCATAATCCCTCACACAGCAGTTTCAATACACTACAGTAAACATATTACTCCTTACACCTGGAACATGTAGTATTCAAAGATCCAACCATCTTAAATATTTCTTAGATGGATGTTTGCTGATAAAAGTAATGTTGTTGTTTGTATTGATGTCATTGTTGCTCTCAGTTTCAGTTCATCAGAAATGATTCTTGTATCCTCATACCTTTCTAATGAAAAAATTGAAAGCATTATATTTGAAGCATACTTCAGTAAACCTGCCCAGCATCGTTATTAGATACAAAACATTTTCTTGCGCTAAGTCGGGTCTCATCTCAGACACAGCTCCTCATTCCCAAAGCTGACATGGGCGGACTTTGTAAGAATAATTATTTCTTTGACAATACTGTTCCTTCGTATTGATTAGCAAATGTGTGCTGTTAATATCAATGGGTGGAGGAAGCATCCCCAAATTTCAGTTGGTGAGGAGTTTTTTCCAAAATAGATTAAAGGATGGCAAATAATTTTGAATCATCTACAAGGCAGGTTTATTTATATTAGCACCATTCAGACACAAGGTAATTCAAAGTGCTTTACAGAGGCATAGAAAAACATTAAAAAACAAGCCATCAATAAGACATTAAAGTTTAATTTAAAAGACAATAAAAACACATCAAAAGCAAAAACAATCAAATAAACAGTTAAATATTAAACAAAAGTTATATATTCATTTTAGTGTTAAGATGCAGTGTTTTAAGCCCTGATTAAAATGAGCAGATGACAGTTGACCTCAGGTATTCAGGAAGCATAGATACCAAAGATTACTCCCTCTGGTTTGGTTTTGACTCTGGGAACACTGAGCAAACTTGTACCAGATGACTTGAG